CGCTTGTCTTGTATGGCAAGATGAGCGTTGCTATTTAAGCCAAGACCGCAAGTTCTGCCTATTCGGCACGACATATATATATATGCATGCAAAACAACCACTCTGAAAGAATAGAGAAATTCCAAACGCTTTCGTGACTACTCACATTATCAAGGAACATAGTTCCTTGATAATGTGAGTAGTCACGAAAGTGCTTGGAATTTCTCTATTCTTTCAGAGTGGTTGTTTTGCATATTCTCAAATCACCTGTTTACTGTGATCTTATTATTTATATATATATAGTCGGACTTGAGTCCTGGAAATGGGAAGTACAATGCCTGCACTTTAAAGGAGGGGTTTGGGATATTGGCAGTTTGGAGGGATATGTTGTGTATCTCTATACGTATATGATTCTAAACTGTTATATTCTGAGCACCTCTGCAAAAGCAGTGATAATGTGTGAGTGTGGTGAAAGTGTTGAATGATGATGAAAGTATTTTCTTTTTGGGGATTTTCTTTCTTTTTTTTTTGGGTCACCCTGCCTCGGTGGGAGACGACCGACTTGTTGAAAAAAAAATATATATATATATATATATATATTTTTTTTTTTTTTTATTTTCAACAAGTCGGCCGTCTCCCACCGAGGCAGGGTGTCCCAAAAAAGAAAGAAATATATATATATATAAGATATATATATAAAATATGCTATATACCTGAACAGTGCTTCTGGGATCAATGCCCCAGTGGCCCAATCCCAGGCCAGGCCTCCAGAAGGATCAAGGCCCAATCATCTAGGCTATTGCAGGCCTAAGAATAAAAGTTTTTGGTTGCATTACCTGAATACTGTAGCTTTGTATCTGGTAGGCTTCTCCAGGGAACACAGAGGGAAGATAAATACAGTGGACCCCTGCATAACGATTACCTCCGAATGTGACCAATTATGTAAGTGTATTTATGTAAGTGCGTTTGTACATGTATGTTTGGGGGTCTGAAATGGACTAATCTACTTCACAATATTTCTTATGGGAACAAATTCGGTCAGTACTGGCACCTGAACATACTTCTGGAGTGAAAAAATATCGTTAACCGGTGGTCCACTGTATTAACTACAGTAATAATAATTCTAGGTGAAATTGTGATTTGTTTTCTAGGATCTGAGGGCTAGCTTATTTGCTAGGTATATGGGTGAGATGTTAGTATTGTGGTATGCAATAAATGGGGCATGCACTCTGGTGTTCATTGTTTATTTCTTTTGCAAAAACAGATCCCAGCCATCTGTTGCTCGAGTATGTCTGTCTGACCTACGTATGCCTCTTATCTGGAAAGATAGTGACCACTTCAAGAATAAAGGAGACTACCGTCGGTAAGGAACTCCTATTTAATGTGTAACCTTGGGCTGTTCAAAATTTGTATTATATTTTAAATATGTAACTAAATTATAATGTTGCAAAGTGAAAGACACGGTGTATAGTTTTAGGTTAACAGGAGATAATGGCACTTGTATTCAAATATTATATATATTAGTATGTGCATATTGTAGCTGCTGTGCAAATGCCATAGAGCTCATAGCTCAATTGCTAGTGTACTAGACTCGCACATTGAGGATCATGGTTCAATTCCCGGTACAGGTGGAAAACGTTGGGACGTTTCCATAAGGCACCTGCTGTCCCTGTTCACCTGTCGGTAAAAGAGAGGTACCTAGGTGTTAGTCGACTGGTATGGGTTGCATCCTGGGAACAAAATTGACCTAATTTGCCCAAAATTCTCTGCATAACAAGGGGCTTTCTATACAGTATTGTGTCATTGATGTCAGCTAGGCCTGTATATGTTGTACATGTACTTGTAGAAATAAAGATTAATTATTATTTTTTTATATACCTGTCTATTCTGTGGAGTTTGTGTGAATCATTTTGCACAATTAACTAAGACATGCCTTTTTCAACTCGGTATGCACTTTTGACATTCAAAGAAAAAGTTGAAAGCCTTACCATTGTTGCAAGTGAAGGCTGTTGGTAAATTATTACAGCACTGGATGCTGTACATACTAAAGGCAGATCAATTTGAGTAGGAAATATTGTTAATACAGTAATTCAGAACTTTATGTACATTTTTATTTATAATCTTTAAATATTTTCAGATTTGCAGTGTTTGTGCTTCTAAAGATTGGCACCGAGATATATGACACAGTCATGGTGAATCCTGTCGACCGCTCAATGACAGACATCTGCTTTGATGATATTATTGTTTTGTAAGTTGCTTTCTTGTGTCTTAGTTGACATGTGTTTTAATATTTATATTAATATCTAGTGCATTTGGACAGAGTTAGAAATATGTAATGCTGCAATGGGGACGAGTAGGATTCTATGTAAGCTACTCACTTTGTTAAATGGAACTGTTGAACTGGCATTAAAGTGGAGAAAAGACTAATAAGTTATCCATGTATATAAATCACCTTCAGCAAAGGCAGATAAAATTGCATAGCTGCACTATAAGTCTTGAAAACTCTGCCATGGGCATTTCCACCTTCCAAATGTTACATGAAAGACAGCAGTCAACAGGTATTTAGAGCAGGAAGACCATGTTTGTTATGACTACTAGTTCATTATGATGAAATTATGGAGACTTTAAAAAAAAACCAATTGTCAGGCTAATAATCTTCCACATCCAGAGTTCATGGTTTCAAGTCGTCATCTTCAGAATCTATAGATAATTATAGTGTGCAGGTAATTCTTAGCACTGCTTGGAAGCTGATGGTATATCATGCCAAATAGATTTTAATAAGAATCTTTATTTTCTAGAAATTTGACTAATTTTGTTCTGAGAATGAATTCTCACCTAATGCTCTTTCTTCACAGCAACAATATTCCATCCAGTTTTGAGTGCAATCTAGAGGTGTACAGCCATGTGCTTCAGAACGACCTCACTATGGCCAGTACTCCTCGTAAGCTGAAGAGAACATTGCATTCGTCTATATCACGGACTGTAGGTAGAAAATTGGCAGCCTCACTCAGGGATGAGTTATCAAATGGAGAAATGTGAGTGTGTGAATTAATATATTTATTATTTTGTATCCATACCAGTGAATATTTTGTAAAACACTTTACTGTAAATAAAGACCCTTAAGTTGTGTTTTAATGTCATTGAGGTAAAACTTACTCTTAAATAATTTGATACACAAGTAAATCTTGTATTATGCAATACTGTAGGTTAATTTCACTGTTTATTATTTTCATGCAGGGGTCCAAAATTTGAGTTGGTAGCTACTGCAAAACTTAATTTGGATAATGTGTCCAACAACACAGCGACATTTGATCTTGCAATGGAAAATGTTGGTAAGGACCCAGTTATCTATAATCATTACTTTACGGGCTCATTTTTTTTTTATAAGAGCCAGTGATGTACAAAATTTGCCAGGGGTAATGTTCATTTCTGTGCCTTGAGTTGTGTTCATCTGAACCTTTGACCTTTGAAGAGTTTCGAAAGATTCACTACTCTCGGAGCCCGGCCATGGGCCAGGTTCATCTGGTGCTTGCCTGGTCATGTTATGTTGTAGACTTACATTACTGCTGCATATCCACTTAATGATTTGTTGCATAAATGTTTAAAAGTTTTCCTGTTAACCCTTTGACTGTTTCGGCCGTATATATACGTCTTACGAGCCAGTGTTTCGGACGTATATGTACTCAATTCTAGCAGCTTCAAATCAAGCAGGAGAAAGCTGGTAGGCCCACATGTGAGAGAATGGGTCTGTGTGGTCAGTGTGCACTGTATAAAAAAAAATCCTGCAGCACATGGTGCATAATGAAAAACTCCGACCGTGTTTTTGGATTAAAACGTAGATTTTGAGGTGTATTTTTGTATAGCATTTATGGTTGTATTCTCGTTTTCTTGGTCTCGTTTGATAGAATGGAAAACATATTACAGAAATAAAGATGATTTTGACTAGTTTCACTATGAAAATGACCTTGAAATTGAGCTCAAAGTTGCAGAAATGTTCAATTTTTACCAATGTTCAAGAGTAAGCAAATCGCACCACACATCCAATACACATGAACTGGGGAGTCTAATATTCTTTCACTAGTGCACTGATATTATTTATACCATTTTTACAGTAATACAGTAGTGTGCATAACAGTAAATCTTCTATTTTTTGTGTGAATAAAAAATCAAAATAGAAAGCAAGAGTAATACAAGAGGGGCCTAGAGACGTGACTAATGAACAGAGGATATGTTATTTTAGTGCCAAGAATGTCTGCATTGTTTATTCTGGACCCTATTTTGAAATTGGCATATTTTTAATTTGCATGAAATTGGCCAAATTGCCAATTTCTGACAACTTTTTTGGGTAGTTGAATTTGGTAAATGGGTGGTTTCTTGTACTCAGTTGATAGAAAAAATGGAGTTCTAAAGAAATAGCTATGAGTCTGGTCTACTGGAACAATGGAATTGACTGAAAATAGGGCTCAAATTTGGCAAAGTCGCCGATGCGTATATATCGCCAAGATCACTAACTTTGCGGGAGCATAAGTCCGTAAGTTTTTTATCAAATTTCATACTTTTGGTGTCATTACCATCGGGAAAAGATTCTCTTATCATTTCATAAGAATTTTTTTTTTTTTTCCAAAAATTTTGTGACATAGAATGACTTTCAGAAATGGGCTTGTGACCATCAAAGGGTTAAGGTTCTTTCTCAATACATTGTTACGCTTGATGTTTGTACCCTCTCCTTGAAGTAATTTTCTAATTCTACATAGTATGAGATGGTCCATGCTCCTTAAAACTTAAGTTCTTGTAAAGCCCTTCTTAGATGTGTATATAGGTAATGTTCATTTCTTGTCTTCATAGTTGCATAATTTTTCTTACAGAAAATCAAGTCATCAATTGCCGCTGTTTGGTCATTTTTGTTGTCGTCTGGCAGCCCAACCAGACTGTGCTATTCAGGAAAGAATTGCTGGTTATGCTCAAGTTCAGGTTAGTGTTGCACCTTTGTTGCTTTCACCTGCTTATAATGACTACTCAGAATCCAAATTATTAAGCTGCTGTTTGACATTAACCCAAGTGTTTTTTTTTTTTTTTTTTTTTTAGTATTATACTGTACTGTATTTTCATAGTTTTAATCCATTAATGAGTAACTTCATCTCTTCAAAGTCAGTGAGGGAGTCTTAAAATAGAGGACATGTTTAACATACCTTGGCTCTTCAAGGAAGGTTCCTTGAAGCCACTGTACTCTTGTACATTCCCTTCTTTGCTTCATGGATAATGCTCTTTGTCTCCACAGATACCTCATTGCACCACCCACCTGTTTTCCTTCATCAGTTCTATGGCTTATCTTGTCCTTCATAAACCCATTCACTGACAAGTCTAGTCCCAAATATCTGAACACATTCACTTCTTCCATACTTCCTTCCTCCAGTCTGATATCCAATTTTTCCTTATCTAAATTGTTTGGTACCCTCATTGCCTTACTCGTATGTATGTTTACTTTCAACTTTCTTCCTTTACACACCCTTAATTTTTTTTTTTTTAACATGTCCGCTGTTTCCCCTCTAAGGCAGGTTGACCCCAAAAAAGAAAGAACCCCCCCCCCCCCAAAAAAAAAAAAAAAAAAAAAATCATTCAACACAAACCATCACTTATACATAATCACTGTCTTTGCAAAAGCGCTCGGATACAACAGCTTGGAAGTCCCTCCAAACTTCCAATATCCCAAACCCCTCCTTTAAAGTGCAGGCATTGTACTTCCCATTTCCAGGTCTCAAGTCTGGCTAACCTGTTTCCCTAAATCCTTTCACAAAATATTACCCTGCTTGCACTCCAAGAGCTCGTCAGGTCCCAAAAACCATTCGTCTCCATTCACTCCTGTCTAACATGTGCACACATGCTTGCTGAAGTCCAAGCCCCTCGCCCACAAAACCTTTACCCCCTCCCTCCAACCTTTTCGAGGACAACCCCTACCCTGCCTTCCTTCCCCCTACAGATTTATACACTCTCCAAGAAATTCTACTTCGATCCATTCTCTCTTAAGTGACCATACCACCACAACAACCCCTCTTCAGCCTTCTGACTAATACTTTTAGTAACTCCACACCTCCTAATTTCCACAGTCCGAATTCTCTGCATAATATTTACACCACGCATTGACCTTAGACACGACATCTCCACTGACTCCAGCTGCCACCTTGCAGCAGCACTTGCAGCCCAAGCTTCACACCCATGTAAGAGTGTTTATACCATTACTTTCACACATTTCTTTCTTTGCCTCCATGGATAACGTTTTTTGTCTCCACAGATACCTCAACGCACCACTCGCCTTTTTTCCTTCATCATTTCTATGGTTAACCTCTTTTCATCCTTCATAAACCCATCCACTGACAAGTCAACTCCCAAATATCTGAAAACATTCACTTCTTCCATACTCCCTCTCTCCAGTGTAATATCCAATTTTCATCTAAATCATTTGATACCCTCATCACCTTACTCTTATCTATGTTCACTTTCAATTTTCTACCTTTACACACCCTCCCAAACTTGTTTACTAACCTTTGCAACTTTTCTTTAGAATCTCCCATAAACACAGTATCATCAGCAAAAAAGTAACTGGGTCAACTCCCATTTTGTATTTGATTCCTCATAATTTAATCCCACCCCTCACCCCAACACCCTAGCATTTACTTCTTTTACAACCCCATCTATAAATATATTAAACAACCATGGTGACATTACACATCCCTGTCTAAGACCTACCTTTACCGGGAAGTAATCTCCCTCCTACACACCCTAACCTGAGCCTCGCTAGGTATTATTATTTTTTGTTTTATTTTTAATCAACTATTGGTTTTGATTTATGGGGACAGGAGAGTGATCATCAGCAGTCTTGGTGTCGGGTATATGGGTGGCAGCTAGAGGTGTGGGGCAGTAAAGAAGACATACATCTCTCTCCTCATCATCCCCTCTCTCTCTCTATTGACCGGGTATGTTTAAGAGTTTATATATTTTATATAGTATGAAAAATGTGTAACTTATAGTTACCCCTTATCTGACATGCTAGAACTAGATTCCTGTCTTTTGTGTAATGAAATTGTCAAAAGTTCAAAGATTCCTTCTGTTAATTTTGTAATCCAATTTTTAATTTAACATTAACAGTGTTAACTTAAGCACTTAAGAAATTATTTGTGATGTATTGTGCCATTTTAATTTCTGCCTTGTATCAGTACAGCACTTACTTATAATTTTTCCTGTTATGTAGATTCTAAGCTACTGAAGAAATGGTTCAAAAGCAAAAATGTCAAGAAATGTGTAGGAAACCAGTGATTTAAGAGGTGTGGTTGGCTTACAAGGTATGTTTTAGACTACTATTATGCAGGAAGAACAAGGAACTTGGCAGTATTTGTGGTGCAAATTTGATGTAGTATTGAGAGTTTGAGAAGAGAGAAGATATGTTGCAGTTGAAATATAGATATTCTTAGTGAAAAAATAGATACTCGACATGTATGTATATTCATTCACTACCTCAAAATAAGGATATATTCATTCTGTACCAGAATAGGATATATATTCATTCACTACCAAAGGGCCTAGTAACACCTTTTTCTGTATCAGTTACTAAATGTAAAAAAAAAAAAAAAATCTTTATAAAGTTGGGATGTTTGAATGTACGTACTTGGATGAAGGTAAAAAGGTGGGTGGTGCATTGAGGTATCTGTGAAGATAACATTATTCATGAAGGTAAAAATGGAATGTAAGAGAGTATAGTGGTGCCAACACTTATATAGGTGTGAAGCATAAACGTAGGTTGTGATTATGACTGAGGAGGAGGCTGGAGGCAGTGAAGATGACATGTTTGAGAGCAATGTGTATTGTGAATATTGTGCAGAGAATTTGAAGTGTAAAGATTAGAAGGGGTTTGTGGCATTGTTAAAAGTATCATCTAGAAGGCTGAGGAGGGGCTGTTGAGGTAATTTATACAGGATGAAGCAAAAATAGGATGACTTGGAGGGTGTATAAATCTGTAGTGGAGGGAAAGCAGGGTACGAGTAGTCCTAGAAAATTGTTAGAGGGAGGGGGTAAAGGGGGTTTTGTATGAGAGGGGTTTAGACAGGCAACAGATATGTGTGAACATGTTAGATAGGAGCACATGGAGGCCAGTGCTTTTTATGACATAATGTACCTTTGGAGTGAAAGTAAAGTAACATTTATGAAGAGTCAGGGAAACTGGTAAGCCAGACTTGAATCCTGGAGGTGGGGCTATTGCAGTTTAGAGGGGCATCTGAACTGTAGTATCGATGTTCTGGCAAGACAATGATGGAAGGAGCAATGGGGAAGGAGTTTCATCTTTTTCAGGTTGCACTCCCTCGGTGGGAGACAGCCAGCGTGTTAAAAAATTAAATGTTTTAATTGCCACTATTATTATTTACAGTAAAGTGGAAATAATGAATTGCTTGAAACTGTTATGGATTTGTTATGTTCTTACCTTTTAACAGAACACAGAAGTAACTCAGACTGGAGCAACTGTGATAGTTGCCAACACATCTGGATTTGACCGTGGACACCTGACACTCACCTTGGAAACTCCTAGTGAAGCAGCTACCTGGTACAGGTGTCTGAAGCAACATGTAGCTGACCATCGTCATTGGGGTCCTGCTGCTGAAGAAGAAATGGAAATTCTTACACCACAGCCAACACGACACAACTTTATTCTTCCAAGAAGAGGAAGATTTGCTTCACTTTATGAAGAAACTCCACTGAGAGGTATGTTTTCATGCAAGGAAAGTAGCACGTTTTACCATTTCAGTGTGTCCAAGGAAATAATGTATTTTTTAAATATAGAAGCATACTCATCAGTGAAAAGATACTGTAATTAAAATATTTTGTAACACTTGCAATATGCACATGTCCATGTTTGGCCAGGTACAGAATGCAGTTGATTTTGATATTTAACACATTTAGGCCAGTGTTTTTTTGGTGACACCTCATTTTGGTGAAAGTTTATTCAGTGATTGATAGATGTTAGCAATGGCATGTATGATGTTATAATTTTTCTGGAGGTCCCTGATTGTTGGCTGACAATTTCTACTGGCTCCTTTGATGTACTCTACAAAGATCTTTTTTAATTAATAAGACTTAAATTTTGCTATAATACTCCAATCCATTCGCTGCATCAAAGACATTGTGTTATTAAGAAGTAAGAAAAAACTGACACCCTGTGTTTAATGACAAGGGAGAGTTAATGCCACCTCCCAGGACATGAACTTTGCACTACATAGTATTCATTTGAGTTAAATTGTATAATGTTAAACTTTTTGTATTTTACAGATGGTTCACCCGGCTCTGAGAAATCTTCATTTGATGATCTTTATGGGTCTTCTGCTTTTGTCAATAACTACTGCACTCCTGCCCACATTCCACCAAGGCCACGAGCTCTCACCCTCTCCTCCCGCTCCTCATTCAGAAGATGGGGTTCTGTCAAATGTAATATGCCTTTCTTTAAAAGCAAGAGTTAGGATTCATGCCATTTGTAAACCTAACGGCCAACAAAACCTGGGTACATTTCCTTGTACATATTCAATATTTACCATTTATATAGAGAAATTAATTTGTTATAAGTTATTTTTCTTGTTTCAAAACTGTCACCTGTGTGTAAAACATGAAATTTTTTTTGTAGTTATATTTACATTTTGAGTATATTTAGAAAAAGATTTTTTAGGATTTAAGATAAATACTGAATTTTTTTTTTTCTTAATTTTTTCTTGATTAGGAAAAGACAGCTTAAATATATTCCTGTTGGAGGTAAATTAAATACTCTTGAGCATGTACCTTGCACTACCTTCCAGTCTGTTTTAAGTAATTATGTAATAGAATATTTTTCACATGCATGAAATTAGTTATGCAGTGTGATGTGTAAATTCATTTGCCTTAAATATTTCTGGTAAATGGCTTATACCAATTATATATTGAAATCTGACCATTGCTGCTGCTCAACTTTTTTTTTTTTGGGGGGGGGGGGCTAAATTATATGGTTTCTACAGATTCTCAGTAACTTGAAATTTCTCTTTTAGAGCATTGAATATTATCAGGAATGGAGTAACTTCAAAAAATGGCTGGAATATCATTGAATTTTTCTTCTCCATTTTGTGGGTTCATCATAATAGGAGACCATGAAAAATGTGTGTGTGTAAACATAGTTGCTAAGCAGTTTTTAAGTGGTTCTGTGCTTGTAAATGTTTTGGTATAAAGTCGGAAAATATGACTTTGCAAAAGTGACTTTGTTTATAAACATTAAGTGATGTACAGTATGGTAATGTAAATGAGAAGTATTAGAATGTCTTTGATACGCCCATCAAATGACTCGCTAGAGAAGACATGATCAATCTACACTTTAACTGTGCAAAAGCTCATAATCAGTCCTCGTTTATGGTCATTTTTTATTTTTAAGTTTTAACTATGACAGGATTATTTATATCGGCAGTGGACTAAAAATATAAGCAGATTAGGCGGGGATTACTGTTCTGATATGCGGCGACCACAATCAACTGTATTCAACCTGTGCAAGGTTGCCACATTAGTGTAACTATTTCACACTGCAGACACTCAACCAAGTTGATTGTGAGTGCTACAGTTGTGAAGGGACCAAATAATTGTTTTGACATGTTATGCAAAAGCATGTACATGTATATATGTTTCTTTAAGAAAAATTTTTAATCCACACTTATTTACTTATTAGCACAAAATGTATACACAAGCTTTCAAAAGTATTTCTCCATCCAAATTTCATGAGTTATTGAACTTCATGTTATATAGTGTAGTAACCTTTTACTATTACAAGGGTTTTCAGTGAAGTAACAGGATTATTATTATATTACTTTTAAGTTTGACGTGCCTCCTGAGTTATATTTTATTTATTGATACGCTTAATAATTTGCATATTCTTAACTTGCTAGAAAAAATTATGATTTTTGTTATAAAAAAAAAAATGCATGTTTTGAGTAGCTACAAAAAATAGTGGCCAAAACTTGCAGATTACACTCTTCGAAATGTTAGCAGCTATTATACAATAAAACTACAAACAGCATTTTGCTAAACTACACAGACTAATCATTAATTTATTTTTCACTACAACAGTGTATTATATAGAGTTCAGTGATCACTTATATCTGGTAAAATGTTAAGCTAGACTTTTATCATTTATTGTAGCTAGATATTAGTTTATTGTGCAGGATTGATATGGATGTAGTTTTTTTTCTACAAGTTTTTGCCATGCTTTGCAGCTGTTACCAAATATGTTTTTGTAGTTGGAGAACTGTTTTTGCAGTGCTGTTTTTGAATATAAGAAAACTGTACTCTAAAATATATGCTGTAAAGTTCCAGACAAGCCATTTACCAGTCTTAGTCAAAATACTATAGGATTATGAAAATATTTGTAATACCAGCCATTTTAAACTACCCGTTTTAAATCTAATAAATGACAGTTATTAAAATATGTACTTTGGGCCTTATTATACAAATGGTTGTTTTAATTATCACTTCCACAATAGTTTTCTTGCAATGAATATACAATATGGTATTTTTATATTGAGAATGTAAGGTTTGTTGTTTATTCTCAGTGGCAACATTCACTAAATTTGTGTTGTAACTTGTATTTTCTGAGTCTTTGCTATGTATAGGCTCATTAGTTTGTGAGAGCAGCTAGTTTTTTTAAACTACAGTGTTTTTCTTTTAAGGTTTTTAGCCACAAATTTTTAAAGTTGTTGGGCTCCTGCCTTGTTGGGTAAATGGGAAGTACAGTTCTGTGGATGTTGAGCATTGCACATAGCTTAGCATATCAGGATATGTCCCATGGATATATGACTTACGTCGACATGATCTTAGCTGATCATGGCTTGTGGGACCTTTAAAAAAAAAACACAGGCTTCTTGTCTATAATTAGGTACATGATAATCATGTTGGAGATAGTATGATAGGAAATGCAGTTGTTTCACTCACAGGACTTGAGCTGTGGTTGAAATGATTAAAACAAGGAAATACATTAGGCAAAATTAAATAAACAAGCCAAATTTTTTGTTTTTAATTTTTGTTTTACTTTTTCTTCATAGTTTTCCTCTAGGCAGAATTAAGTAAATACAATGTCCCAATCCTTCCAGTTCGTTCTCTTTGCCTATTCTATCTGCCCTCCAATATTCTCTCCTTCCCTGTCCTTTTTGTTATCTCCCTTGTCCTTCATTCTTATTACTTTCCTTTCTCTCCACTAATTTTTTTTTTTTTTTTTTTTTTTTTTTTTTTTTAACTTTTACCAAAATCTGACATTAGGAGGAAAATCATTCTTGAATTAGTTTAATCATATGACTATGAACAGATTTAGTATTAAGTTAGCTATCAAACTGCAAAACTTATTAAGAAAAATAGGTAGAGAGTATCTGAAACTACAGCCTCCACTGAAAGAGAAAGAAATCAACATTATCACTACTAGCACAGTACAAAAGGACACTTTTATTGAGTTATATTAATGTATGGTTAAGCTATCCCAGATTTAGTATTTAGAAAAAACTAAACTCTTAGGGGTCGCACAGTCTTGCTGAAGTAAGTTGTCAAAAAAAAAAAAAGGCATACAAAAAATGCCAGTCATCGTATATATATTCATGTTATATGAAAAGCAATCTTACAAAAACATTGGTTATATACTACTAAAGAAACTGCTTTTGATGACTACTAACCTGTCCTGACCCAGCCTTCTGTTTTGACCCAACACCCACAATACTGTTAGCCCCGCCTGTTCCGTTTCCCTCTGTGGCTCGAACTCTGTTGCTTCCATTCCTTAAGTGCTATGTCCCCCTACAGATTAAGCATTTCCCTCTAAATATAATAATGTGGATTCTAAAGGGAATTCCTTTGGCTGATTACTGAAAGGAAAAAGATCATCATTTTTGTATTAAAATGACAGCTTATTTCATGAATTTTCCCATAAAGGCATTTTTTGCAAAACAGTATTGTTATATTGTAGTAATTAACACACTGAAATACAGATTTAAATTACTTCAGACAATTATTCATTATTTCTATTTAGCTATTTAAAAGCAAGTTTGAGAATTACAGGAGAACTGCTTCATAATCTTTTAAAATTAATATCAAAGAAATAATGTAAGTTGCTAGAAACCTGTTAATTTTTTCAAATACAAAATATTATATTTTATCTTCAAAAACTAAAGAATTCATCTTGTTCCTATTTATATTTACCATTCTGCAGCTCCTTTGATCTTTGTTTCCAGCTATGGAAAATATTCAGCTCATGACACTGATATGTACTAATCTAATTATTGATCTTATGGCATCTCTGCTTTCATTGTATATTGTAATGCTTTTACTTGACAAATTGAAAATTTTTAGTCATGTTTCTTGCCAAACATTAACATGTATGCATGCATATTTCTGAGCTTATACAAATTTGTTAGCGAAGGCTATTCTAGATATTAAAAAATGTTTTTTCCACATTACTCTCATTCACTTCATAATTTGTAAATTATTTTATGGAATAAGAATTTCATAACTGTACATAGGATGTTTTTTTTTTCTTTTTTTTTTTTTTAAATCTGGGACTATGGTGTTGATGTGAACTGCCATAAATTATTGTAGGATGGGTATTGCCTTGGATTTGTAATTTTGCTTGTGGGGGTTTTGCAGATTTTGTAATAAAATTTATACCATATAACTAAAACTTGGTTTTATTCTGCAAATCTTCTACAAAAAGAATACTATTGTTGTCTTTGACAAGAATTTGTATATGAATTTAATGCTTCATAAGTATGATAATTGAAGCAGTACTGAATGATCCAATAGGGTTAGTAGTTTGTGCATGAAAATAATCAGAAATTGCCTAATAACAGAATTTTTTCTTTTGCTGCCATGCTAAACCTGTAGTGGTCATAGAAGACCTGGAAAATGTGGGCCATTTAGGTTCTGTTCAAGGAAGGGGGAACACAAGTCCAGTTCCTTGGATCACAAGAAAGTTGCTGGTATCATGGCACCTCCTTGAGGAGTGCTATTGCTCAGATTTTGAAGCACCTATACACTCCTCTAATACATATATCAACCTTCTGAGTAAGATACACAAGTGTTAAACTTTACATCAATCAACCTGAAATCAAATTTGGGCATGACCTCTGTAACGTCATTCACAGAGAACTCGTGCATTCAAACAGTCTCGCAAATCTTGCCCAAGATACATTACACTAGCGTTGACAATTTGAAGCTGATCAACTAAGGTGTTCTCGAGTAAAAAAATATTAGAAAGGAAACAAATGTTGGAGTGTTCTGAAATTAGTCTCCCTTGTTAACTGAATAAATGATCATATTTATTGTGTTTTCTCATTTACATCCTCTTCACAACTCAAATCTTTAAGAAAAATATTTTTTAAAATCATTTTGATGAAATTAGCACCCTAACAGCTTAAAATCAATACAAAAATACTCCATATTAAGAGAGACTGACAGCACTGTATGACCCTTATGGGTTTAGTGCTTAGTTTTGATTGTAATAATAACTCTGACAAGCTTAGTTTTAATAAAGTCCATTAATGGAAAAGTTAAGAGACTGATCAGAAAAGACATTCTCCAGTACTGGATCACAATTTCAGTAAAATTTCAAATTTGTTCTCACTCAGACTAAACTTATGGGTTATCACACCTTGTAATATACATTGATTATGAAATTTTGAAGCCAATGAGTAATACAGTGTATTCTTAAGTTATTGAATAAAAACATATCACTGTTGAATAAGACTGACCCCTCAAGGAAGGCTCCTTGATGCTGGTGAGGGGCTCTTGATCTAGGGAATTGGATCTGTGCTCCAGTTCCCTGAATTAAGCCTGAATGCCTTCCATCCCCCCATAGGCGCTGTATAATCCTACGGGTTTAGTGCTTCCCCCTTGATTATAATAATAATAATGAATAAGACTGGTGAATTGTGACTTAAGAGTGAACCTTGTGGTAATGTGAACCTTATGTTCAGGAAACCACAACTATGGTTCAAATTCCCCTCAAGGAAGGTTCCTTGATGTTGGTGAGGGGCTCTTGATTAAGGGAATTGGATCTGTGCTCCAGTTCCCCGAATTAAGCCTGAATGCCTTCCACATCCCCCCCCCCCAGGCGCTGTATAATCCTCCGGGTTTAGCGCTTCCCCCTTGATTATAATAATAATGTGATTCAAATTCTCACAACACCAGTGGTGAGAATTTGAAGCTGATCAGACGAGTCATTCTCCAGTTGCATCACGTTCAAACTTTGTGTATTATATTGCTTTAACAAATTTGCCTCCACCTTTAACACACTCCTTTGACTGTCAGCAACAGCTTTATTACACTAACCTTACCCCTCAAGGAAGGTTCCTTGATGTTGGTGAGGGGCTCTTGATTTAGGGAATTGGATCTGTGCTCCAGTTCCCCGAATTAAGCCTGAATGCCTTCCACATCCCCCCTCCCCCAGGCGCTGTATAATCCTCCGGGTTTAGCATTCCACTGGATTATAATTAATAATAATAACCTTAATTATTGTTCTTTAGCACTCCCATTTAACTACCTTATTGACTCTGCCTCTTGCTATTCCTAGTGGTCACTATCTTTCATATTTTATCTTATCATATCTGGCCTTTCTTTGCTGTATGACCCTTGTGGGTTAGCACCTAGCTTTGATTGAATTCCTTTTGGCTTAGTGCTTGCTTTATTTATAATTTGATTGTATAATCATTAAATCATTTTCTTTATTTTTTTCTTTCCGGGTCCATGGCCTGGGTGAAACGGTTGACGTGTTAAAAAAAATAAATAAAAATTTGCCAACACACAACTTGCAAACTATCCAGGCCCAAAAGAATCACCATAAAATTGAACAACAAACTTGAGCTCTCTCAAGGCGAAGATTCCATGCTTGGTGAGGAGCTCTTGATCTAGGGAAAGCTGAGTTGGTGGGGCTCTGATTCCCTGAATTAATCTGAATACCTTCCCAATCACCCCCTCCCTACAGTGCGTCTGTTAATCCTATGGTTTATATCCTTTGATTTAACTTAATGATGCCATGACTTAAGAACTTAGTTTGATTATTAATAATAAGAAACTACTTAAAATAAACCACTTCCACTCTGCCATCATTGATTTAGAAGCACCTTTTTTGAACATTTGAGGCTACGCCATGAAGATTTTGGAAGTTATCAGAACCATTCAAGGATGCTAAGAAAGAGTTCAATAATTTTGATCACAGGGCAACCGAGCTGTAAGGATGGCTTGGGCAAAGGTGCCTTCAGCAATGCCAGTAAGTGATAGTTTGCAGAGAACGACTCTACATGTGACACAGGCGAGATGACTCGGATGATGTGACATCAGCGAGAGCCAGCGAGCATTGTTCTGTCTGTACAGGGTGCTCAGTCGACTCACCCATCTGATGCAAGAACTGACTGTAGGGCATCCTTGGCTAGTCGCAGTGTTGATATTGATCAATATCATTTGTTCGTGGTCACAATAGTATAAAATATTGCTCGTTGAGGCTAGTACACCAAACGGGGAGGAGAATGAAATTAATTCAGAGGCACCCACACCACCGTATATCCTAGGATCAAGGGTAACACACCTAACTTGGCTGGGTGCTTGCTTCTTGTAGGATTGCATGGTCCTGTGGGTTAGAACATCATGGGTTTTCGCTCACCAAGATGTGGGCCAAAGAAGCATGGAGTGAATCCTTGGCTAGATAAAGTGTTGTTACTGATATATATATATTTTTTTTTAACAAGTCGGCCGTCTCCCACCGAGGCAGGGTGACCCAAAAAGAAAGAAAATCCCCAAAAAGAAAATACTTTCATCATTCAACACTTTCACCTCACACATAATCACTGTTTTTGCAGAGGTGCTCATAATACAACAGTTTAGAAGCATACACATATAAAGATACACAACATATCCCTCCAAACTGCCAATATCCCAAACCCCTCCTTTAAAGTGCAGGCATTGTACTTCTCATTTCCAGGACTCAAGTCCGGCTATATAAAAATAACCGGTTTCCCTGAATCCCTTCACTAAATATTACCCTGCTCACACTCCAACAGCTCGTCAGGTCCCAAATACCATTTGTCTCCGTTCACTTCTATCTAACACACTCACGCACGCTTGCCAGAAGTCCAAGCCCCCTCACCCACAAAACCTCCTTTACCCCCTCCCTCCAACCTTTTCGAGGACGACCCCTACCCCGCCTTCCTTCCCCTACAGATTTATACACTCTCCATGTCATTCTACTTTGATCTTATTCTCTCTAAATGACCAAACCACCTCAACAACCCCTCTTCAGCCCTCCGACTAATACTTTTATTAACTCCACACCTCCTAATTTCCACACTCCGAATTTTCTGCACAATATTTACACCACCCATTGTCCTTAGAAAGGACATCTCCACTGCCTCCAACCATCTCCTCGCCGCAGCATTTACAACCCAAGCCTCACACCCATATAAGAGTGTTGGTTCATTCATTCATTAGAGGTTTGCCGGTACTTCCGGCCCGGGTCTTCTCCATATGGTGACCCGGCTGTGGCCCCCGGTTGGGGGTGTCGTTCATCTTCTTCTTTCTTCTGTCTTCTTTCTTGGGCCCTCCGGCTGGAGGGTAACCTCTTCTTCTCTCTTGCGGCGACTCCCCGGAGGGGAGTGTCATCTCGCTTCTCATCTTCATCAGCATGCGTCACTTGGTCTTCAAGAGTGTTGGTACTACTATACTTTCATACATTCCCTTCTTTGCCTCCATAGATAACGTTTCTCGTCTCCACATATACCTCAACTCATCACTCACCTTTTTTCCTTCATCAATTCTATGATTAACCTCATCCTTCGTAAATCCATCCTCTGACACGTCAACTCCCAAATATCTGAAAACATTCACTTCTTCCATACTCCTCCTCTCCAATTTGATATCCAATTTTTCTTTATCTAAATCATTTGATACCCTCATCACCTTACTCTTTTCTATGTTCACTTTCAACTTTCTACCTTTACACACTCTCCCAAACTCGTCCACTAACCTTTGCAAGTTATCTCTAGTATCTCCCATAAGCACAGTATCATCAGCAAAAAGTAACTGTGTCAATTCCCATTTTGTATTTGATTCCCCATAATTTAATCCCGCCCCTCTCCCAAACACCCTAGCATTTACTTCTTTTAAAACTCCATCTATAAATATATTAAACAAGCCATGGTGACATTACACATCCCTGTCTGTAAATACCTTTGTAACTTGTCATGACTGTGACCAGATCTACCTAGAGTTCATTACCTTTGTAACTTGCTCAGCTATCAAAACTTTGGGGCCCAGTCCCTGGACCCATTATGTACCTCTGTAATCTTTTGACTACTGCCCACAGGATGGGTATGGGGTGCATAATAAAGGTTTTAAACTAAATAACATCATATATCCTTGGATCACGTTGCAACACCTAGCTCTGCTGGGTGCGTGGACTTTGTAGGATTGTATGGTCCAGTGGGTTAGATTGTCGTGAATTTTCGCTCACCATGAGGCAGGCTAAAACAACATGGGTTCGATGCCCCGGCTAGTCGCAATGTTGTTATTGATTAAATACCACTCGTTCGTGGTTACAATAATATGTATATATAAGACGAGTGGTGCATTGAGGTATATGTGGAGACAAAAAACGTTATCCATGGAGGCAAAGAAGGAATGTACGAAAGTATAGTAGTACCAACACTCTTATATGGGTGTGAAGCAGAGGCGTCGCTAGATTTGGTATCACCCGGGGCCCCTCAAGGAAGGTTCCGTGATGTTGGTGAGGGGCTCTTGATTTAGGGAATTGGATCTGTGCTCCAGTTCCCCGAATTAAGCCTGAATGCCTTCCACATCCCCCCCCCAGGCGCTGTATAATCCTCTGGGTTTAGCGCTTCCCCCTTGATTATAATAATAATAATAATCACCCGGGGCGGAATCTCTGGTGTCACCCCCATGAAATTCAAGGGCGGGGGGATGGGGGCGTAGTAAACTCCAGTTAAGATAAGATTTCGTTCGGATTTTTAACCCCGGAGGGTTAGCCACCCAGGATAACCCAAGAAAGTCAGTGCGTCATCGAGGACTGTCTAACTTATTTCCATTGGGGTCCTTAATCTTGTCCCCCAGGATGCGACCCACACCAGTCGACTAACACCCAGGTACCTATTTGCTGCTAGGTGAACAGGACAACAGGTGTAAGGAAACGTGTCGAAATGTTTCCACCCGCCGGTGTCAGCATAGTTGCTGATCCCTGTATTCCCTGTATTATATAGCATAGCATATTAGTATCATCCATGTGCTTTAGACACGAGACCCCTCGTAGGCCTGT